CTCTCCGCCGCCTCGATCTCCCGCAGAAGCAGCTGCCGTGCTTAGGCTTAACTCATGCGGCCGGCCCCATTCTGTCTTGACAGATGCAGATCGAGGTTTTGATGTCTCAGATTTGAGTGCCGACAAGAAACCCGACGCTACGAAGGTCCACCGTCCGCTGCTGCAAGTCGGCAGTCGTCACAACCCTCACCACCATCAAACCAGCTTTGCCGGCCACCCAAAGCCACACCTCCGACTCCCTGTTACACAACCACTTCGTCAGTCAACTCTCAGAAACCGGTCCGCCGATCCTCAATACCCAGTGAGCCAGTACATATCGGTTCGTCGGTCTGGGTTATAGATAAACCAAATTGGTTTATACGATTATTTCATATGTTTTGTTCATGTTTGGATTCGGATTAATTATATTTTAGTGACTCTTTTAGAATTAATAGCGTTTAATTTCCCTGTCTATCACTCACAGATTTGGATCTTCCATAGCCTACTAAACACGGTAGTTCAGATCTGTGATCCGAAAGAAGCGAATCATGATGACAGGAAATTTAGGCTGTAGATTTTCTTTATTGAGTTACTAGGAAAATAGTTATGAAAAGTACGGAAAATACCAAACATCAGACATAATTTTGTATAGGTCCAATTAGGTCTCTTTTGAACGTATCAGTATATTTACTGATATTTTAATCTCCGTCTTTTTGACGATCACTTGTACAGGGTAAGTCTTAAACACTGCCCTGAAAAATATTTCTGGTTATCTATAAATTTTTCAGGTACTGGCCTGTTTTTAATAATAATAATAATAATAATAATAATAATATTTTCACACCACTACCTCCACACCTTTACCGCCGCCGCCGGCCGTCGGAAATACCCACTGCAGCCGTCGGGCCGCCGCTGGCCGGATTATGTCCAAATTCCGGCCAAGTTGTCGGAATCTGGCCGGCTGGTCGCCGGTGGGTGGCGGCTGTGGGTGGCTCGGCAATGGAGGTGTGGAGGCGGTGGTGTAAAAATAATATTATTTTATTTGAAATAGTATCCCAATAACTTTTTGAATTTTTATTAAAACCACATTTTAAATTATATCTCCAATTCAAACCAATAACTAAGCCAAAAACTTAAATAAACTATTTTTGATCTGGATTTTCACCCCACAAGTTTTCTTGTATTTTTTTTAAAGTTTGAATTTTGAATTAATTACTATAGTGCAGTAAAATTTTAGAAATAACTTAGGATTTATTGTAGCTGTGAGGACCACCAATTTGGTGCCCCTCAAACGGGACAAATATAACATTTGTTATAGGATTTTCCAGCTCTTAAAATTTTAAAGAAGAGGTTAAGATTAGTTCAAAGAAAAAAAAAATGTACTAAATAGTTACGTCTCTAAAATAATCAACATAACTAATTTATTGATCCCAAATATATAACTTTAAAACAGGAGGGGATTAGACTTGGTTCAAAGAACCCGATGGATAGCTCAAGCCATGTTTCGAGTCAACAAACCTAAGTATAGTTTTGTTTAAAATAGGCTAAAATATGCCCCAAAAGCTGGCCACGTGTTTGTCCTTTCTACCCCAAGTTAGTTTCAGCCAAACCCACCCCTAAGCCTTCCAATTGCCAACCGACTTAAAAAAATAATAATAATAATAATAATAATAATAAATAAAGAAAACAAAAACAGAGAAGGCAAAGAGTTTTAAACCATTTTGCTGTACGTAGCCAAAAGCAAAAAAATATCCCATTGTTCTCATCCGCTGCTACACCATCATTTCTTTTCTCCACCGCTGCTGAATGCTGACCCTCTCCCTATCTCTCTCTCTCTCGTTCTTCATCATCAATAACGTTCAACCTTTTTGTCATCATCTCTGATCGATGAACACCACCACCAGCCCTTAGTTTTTTTTAGCTAGCCGAACTACCATTTTAAACCTCCCTTTAATTAACTTCGATTCCGGAACAATCATGTCAACCGCCAGCCACCGAGATTCAAAAATGAGGAAAGAGTTTGAGGAGTTGTTGATGTGGCTTCCAGCTGCAGATTAATCGAAGCGAAGCGAACCCGGCAGACTTGAAGAAGAAGCCAGTAGGAACAGGGAAGTTCGAGAGGAATTGAAGCTTAGGAAAAATACTTGATCAATCTTAAGGTCTTCTGCTTGTAAGTCATCTTCCTTTAATAACTAATTTAGCTCCTGATTAATTGTGACACAGTTAGGTTTTATGGCTTAGGAATTTTGCTAGTTATTTAAGGGATACAAGGTTGTGTGGCTCTAGTTGGGATCTCTCCCAGTCATTCAATTAAATAATTTACTGATTAGCTAAAAAGGAAATGTTTATTTTGAAGAATATAATTGAAGACTACTGTAAATGCTTTTAGAGTGGACATAGTTGTTATTGTGTCATGTTCTCATTTAATCCTTTAAATCAAACCAGAAAGAGGTCAATGGTGATGATGCCTTCTGTCTTGTTGCTGTTGGGTGTTCTTTTGAACGTGGGTTTAGGGAGAAAAAGAAGGGGAGCATTAGGAAAACTTGGTCGGGTTTTCATTGATTCATTAAGTTTCTGTTTTGAGATTCAAATTGGGCGAAATGATCAATGTGAAGAGTAGTAGGGGTTCTGGTTCCTACCAAAATTATAAAGGGGAAAACTAGTTGTTATACTAGAGTTAGGCCGGGTACCACTTATTTTATAAACTAACAAGTAACTAGAATTTCTGTTAGTTGATGCACCAAATGTAATCAATTAGTTTGGTGGCTTGGAGGTACACTTCCTCCTGCGAATTCCACCAATATTAGGTAGTACAATATTAGGTTTGATTTGCTTACAAAAAAAACAATAGAACTAGAACTGCCAAAGCTAATAATAGAGAGTCAAGAATGTAACAAGTAGCGATCTACGTTAGCGCATTGGAATGCATAGGGATCAAGGCATTAATCTCTGGTTATAAACCTAGTATTAACCTTAATATATATTCAAAACAGTAAGGCAGTTAGTTAGTAGGTAATAAAGTAAAATGGTGAGTAAAGCACTAATGAAATCAATGAAATCTAATCTGACTTATATATGTGTAACAATAACAATAACAAAAGTTGTGCTTAAAACATAATATGAGTACGTTAGCAGTGGCATAACTTCTAATCAATTTTATAATGATCATTAACTATGAACCGGAATTCATATTTTTCTATGTTATAGGATTCTTACATTATCTCTGAAGAACTTGCAGATCAAGTGTTTGGAGTCAAGAAGCAGCCTTATAATATCTGTGAGTAATCTCACTGTATATGTAAATATAATTGCATGATAATTAATTAGGATAATTGCTTGAAACCAGAATGCATGTCTACTGTTTGTTCAGTCAATCTTGATTGAAAATGTTACATATCATGTTTGTCCCATGTGTGTACTTTATCACGCTGGGTAATTGAATAACTTGAATAGATATTGTCGATCTCTGACTTGACAGATGATTTGCTTGATTGTAACTATGCCTGATGTTTGACCTTTATGGCTTGACCTTGCTTGCGGCCATGTGTACTCTATTGCATGTGCTGTACAATGTAAACTGAGTACCGTACGTGTACATTGAGTCTTGCTTGAACGTGTGCATGTCATCAATGGTTAGTCATGGATCTATGCATCCTTCTAATTCAAGGTAAATCCTTACGTGTCGGCATAGGGCCATAACGTACTGGATATTACTACTAGGAGGTTGGTTATCTCGAGATATATCACTATCGTTATCGTTATGGGCGATGGTTGTCGATGCATACCTTCGTTCTTTATCGTGATCTCGTTACGAGTTTGAGATGAATTAGAAGTTCATTCCATAAGCCACATAAGCAGGATCAGACTTCTAAGTACTCTCACCCGTATCCACCACTAATGTGCTACTATGCGAATATGTACTTGGCTAATGGTAGCCACTCTTTATCCTTTGATTTATAATATTTTTCGGTGAACTAGTTATAGTAACTTTACTTTATATTATGTGACTTTCTATGATAACTTGTTTGACTATGTGGTCACCTAGATTATTAATAGATCACCGGTGAGACCTCATTGAGCGTACGCTCATCAAACGTATACTTTTTTATACTCCAGGAGTAGAAATGCCGGATTACCTTGTTAACACGCTTCAGAAAGCCTAGCATTCATGAAGATGATCGGGTTTAGTTGTATTTTAGTTCTACAGACTTTTGTTAGTTACAAAAATGGAGAACGTTGTTTTTCAATATGTTGTAAGACATACATGTAATAAAAATCCTATACAAAATATCAATTATAACTTTTGACTTGACAAGGTTTTAAGTTATTGCTCTTGATTACCTATGGACTGTTTTACCGAGACCTAGCGAGAGCTAGGCGGGCGTTTTGACTATGATTCCTTCGCTATAAGCATGGGATCTAGTTGGGGCGTTACAGTAGCGATCAAAGTCAAAAATCTCAGTTTTGCTTCTTTTTTTTTTTAATTTGAATTTTGAATTATTTAATGTGATTCGGTAAATTTTTAAGGTTACAGCGGGCTGGGGTTAAAAGTGCAACATAATTAACATTTATTTTGTACCTAAAGTAAATGGTAAAGAAAAGATTAACTTTGAAAATAATTTAAATTTTAAAATAATATTTTAAATTAATAAATAATATTTTAATAATTAAATAATTTAATGTGAATTTTTATAATATTTTTAATGATTTAAATTTTAACAAAAGTTCAAATTATATTAAAAGACAATAATAAGATTCCAGCATGTCAACTCTTGGTCAACATCAAGGTGGACGGAAAAGTAGTCGAATCAATGAAATGAGATAAAAAAAAGTGTGAAAACATAATGTTTTATATTACAATATTGATATATTAATATTAAGGACATAAAATCAGATAAACCTAAACCTAAATGTAAAGGATCATTTTGACATTTTATTCAGAGTTATTAAAAATGTTTGCGTTCAATTCATTTAAAATTTGGGCCCTTACCAAACTTGGCATGGATTTAGGGAAACGAATAACTAACTCCACCAAATGTACTAGCTTTGCTTTATTGCTTGATTACGAATCTGCTCAAAATAATCATAAAACTTAACCATACACGTGGAAACAACTTTTTTCTCCTTAATCACAGTAACATGGTTAGTCGAATTCGTAATTTTCAACTATCTCGGCAACTAAAACCAAGGGGAAAACACAAGAGCTCAAACTCAAGCCATTGACACCTCTGTAATTTGAAGGCACAAAACTCAGTAACATATATAGATTTTGCTCATTTACATTAGGCCATTTGGCATCACGCAGCAGCTGGCTAAAAGAGTCAATCAAGTAAGACAAAATATGCTTCATGAAGATCGATGAAGAAGCCCTAACATGTTTTTTTCGAGACAGCAAGGAAGATAGCACCGCGTGTTAGCTTTGTCTTCCTCCTCCCATTCGATGTCAAGCACCATTTTCAGTTCACAAAAAGCCACTCGTTTTGGACGAACCCGGCCATGCACCTGACACCAGCAATACTTAGCTCGAAAGGTTTCTTTGACATTGCTGCCCTCCTTGACGTTACTCGCTTTGAAAGTAAGATACCACATATCGTGAGAATCAGTCAGCTCAACAGTTACGCGTTCAATATCAGCCGCCTCCCCCTTAAACGCGTACTCATACTGCAGGCATATAAGGAAATGGGAAGATGTATATAATTTTTCTTATTATCATTATTGTTGTAATCAAACAAAAGAATCAACAAAGAAGAAGAAAAGAAATGCAGGGGTAATACTGGCAATCGAATCAAATCAATTCAATCTGCTACCATCAAAAGGAACTAAAGAGCGATACCGATGTATGAGAATTTAATAACGAATACCTGAGGATGGGTTTTGTTGAAGTGGTCAATGCATTCACCACACCAGTCAATGAAATCTTGGAGGGTCGGGGTGCATTGGGGGGGGAATTGTCCAACCTGATTGGATCCTGCTCTGAAATCCCAAGGCCAGAAGCTAGCTTTTAAGCAAACACCCGGAAAACTCTTCACCTCATAGCCCTGAATATTAGAGAATTTTATACTTATAGTACAGAGAACCATAATCTAAAAGTTTGTAGAATATACATTGACACGCCCCCTCGGTAAATGTAAAAACTAACCCGAGTGCGGTGGATCTCGCCAAAGTAGACAGCCCAAGCCTTCTCATCCTTGTAAAGCTGTCCTTTAGGGATCCATTTTTGCTCCTCACGGTACAGCTCCAAAATCACTGGATCCTTCTCCAATGAACATGGATAAATAGACAACTGGCCATCAGCACTGGACTCATAATCATCGGGCTCATCATCATCATCATCATCGGATTTGGCTGATTCCATCTCTTTGGATGATGAGAAAGATGTAGATATGCCATCAGAATCTCTCTCATCCACCGTGGCTGTTTTTCCTTCTGATGACGGTGAAGATAATATGCTCGATTTCTCGGCTTCCATAACTTTACATTTATCATCACAATCCTCCCCTGCAGCCTCTTCCTGGTAGTTGACTTGTGTTCCTTCTGATGCTGCGGGGGCCTAACTCAAAGAAAAACAACAAGGAACACATTCATCAATATGAATACTGTTGTTTCCTTCTGCACAGGCAATCAGCTAATCTATAGGTGTTATGTCCAGCAACAAACTACATGCTTCCAACAGAAGGAAGAGTCCTAATAAGACACAGAATCACTTGAAACTTGAAACAAGGAAAAAAAAAAGAAAAAAGTAATGAACTAACCCTGAAAGCAGGCTGATGATCAACTGGAGCTCCACCTTCGACACCTCCATGATATCCATCCCTGTTCTTCTCAGATATGACCTGATTCACCAAAATTCAATCCAGAAAAAAAAAGAACGGTTAAACGCTACATCTATCTTGAATTTTATACCGGAAAAAATCGTGTTCGTGCAAACAGATGACAAGAAAGAGATCGACGATTTACCATTTTGGTCGGCCGGCTGCGGGATGGAAGTAGATGATCGACACAGATTTCTGCAAATTTATGAATTTACGCCCAACTTTTACCAACCGGGGGGTGTCAGAATTGAAGAAAAATTTGGGGAAGAATTTGGATTAGGGTTTCTGGGAATTTGATAGAAAACGATTTACTGGAAAACGAGATCTCTGACCCGACTATTTCAAGTCTGACCTTTTGTGATGGATCGGAACACCCTTTTACTATCAACTACTACTTATCTAGCCTTGGGCATGGGCACCAACTTAGAAGCGATGCGGGCTTTAGGGCTTTGTGATTGGGCGACTAACACATTTGGGCCTCTCTGTTGGACCTTTTCGTAAATTTCATTTTTGCCTTTTGGGATTTTTTTCCTAATTAATTTATTAAGCCTTTTAAAATTTATTACTATTCTTGGTAAATTAATTAAGAATGTTAAAAATGATCAACAAAGCTCACTTTTGAGTTTGACCACCAAAATTAGACATTTAATTTGTACTTTTCTAAGGGAAAAACGGAAATCTGAGTTTTTGTCCTTTAAAAATTACTAACGCGAACCCCGCGGAAATGAAACGAGTGATTTGATTGCTTTGATTGTTGGTTTCTATGTAATTAGTATATATGTTCTTGCACTGTGATTCTGGATTTAATTCTCTGTTTCTTTTTCTCATTGTTGATTTTGCTTTTTGGATAAGTGTTTGCTTTTTCTATGTAATTAAGTAAGCACAAGATGCCGATGATTTATATTAGGTCGTATTAGAAAATTGTTCAAGAAAATATATTTAGGGAACGGCTCCTTAAATATATTTCCATTCAATCTCCCCATTCACCTTGATGCTGAGTCAACATCATTTGCTCTTGACAATATTCTACACATCCCAAGAAATCATTCCCTGATGTGCAATATGGTGTGCTAACATTATAGCTAACAAGCATTAATTTCACCATCTCCATTACTCAGGATAAGTCTAATTACAGCGAAAGAGAATAAAATACTACCATTCACGCCTAACAACGAGAGCTCCACTAATAATGATGACACCGAAGTGCATGCAAGGTCTTAATTGAAGTTCCCGCAATTTAACTCAGAACCCACAATTTCAAACCAAAAGATTAATAAAAAAGAAAACCGCAACACTTAACATTCCTTGAGTACTTGAAAAGTGAACAATCCAGATCATGCTAGACCCCTAAACAAATAACAGCACCAACCACAAGACCCTAATCCCTTTATGGGAATTCCTTTATAAGCACCAACAACAAGACTTATAGTGCCTTTATGGGAACCCATATATGACCTCAGACCTTGATATATATCCTTCATAAAAGTAATCTACACCAACAACAACATCAACTATTTATTGCGTAGCAAAATACATTATTTATTCGAGATTAAGTAGGAGAAATGAATTATAAATGGCATAATCAATTGGGCTACTTGATTTATGATAACACATGAATCCAAAAGTTAAAAAGTAATTATAGTAAGGCCCAAGCCCAGACTGGGCTATAACGGCCATAATTCAAAAGTTGTCCCTTTCCCTCGTTCCCTTCCCATGAAGGGGAAAATCGAGAGAGAAAAGGGGAAAATTCTCCAAAGCTAGGGTTTTTCCAAATTGTTGTAAGATTCTTGAAATTGATCCATCTCTTTCCGAAACCCAGAAAAGTTTCTCGGTAATTTTATCTATTCTTAATGTTATTGTTCATTTTCATCTTTTTCCTGCATTTACTCACAGTTTTGAAGCTTCGATTCTGTGTGCAAGATTGAATTTTTTTTGCATATTATCTACTTCTTGTCATTCTTGTGGCAAAAATTTAACTTAGGAAAGTTTTGGTGAGAAAAGATTCTTTCTTTGTGCTAAATATGTGTTTAGTTTTGATATTTCATGAATGTGGCTAAAGTTTTGATGCTTTGCTCAAATTACGTTTGTGAATAGTATCATTTTGTCATCTATCTTTTGTTGCCTCATTTATTGCTAGAGATAGGGTTGTTCATCTTTCCTTCATCCTCAGGTTTAATTGCAAACTGATGGAGAATGTGTTGGATGTAATGGAAAGAAAAAAGCAAGCATCAGATTTGAAGGGTGAGACCCATGACCCAAAAGAATCAACTTCTTCGACTAAAGAAAATGTTGTAGAAAGGCATCTACAACCACATTTTGCGGCTGTTACACCGGAGAAACCTATTGAGGCCTCGTTATCGAATAGCATGAAGGAAGCTGAGCTACTACTTCCTCACAAGTGAGCACTTTACACAGATGCTCTTTTCTTGGGCTTTTTTTAAGTTTATTGTTTGGTGTTGACATTCTCTTTTTTCTTTTTCAAGGTACAAGATTCTATTGGACTTTCTTGACCGAATGGTTTCTTCATTGAGACTACTTGCTTTATCCAATAAGCCTCCTACTTTCCATAACATTTCCCGTCAAGTGGAAATCTTTACTAAGAGGTTGTTCCTGTTACAGATTCTCTTTATTTTGAAATTTCTGATGCATTTGGTTAAATGTTTGTGTATACGCTGGATGTAATATGCCTTTGTTTCTCTTTTAAATCAGTGCCTGCAAAGTGGCTTATACCAAACCATTATGCTCTCTTATTGCTTACCTCCAAAAGCGGGGCTGATTTTATGCTTAAAATTCGCCTTTTGAATACTGGAGAAGCTTTACACGTTTCTCCCCTTTTAAATGATTTTTTTTGTGTTCATTTCTTATCAGAAAGTTCGAGTACAAGCATCTGGCGCAGATAAAACATTTGCTGCCTGAAGCTGTCAATATTGAAAAGATGCTTATGCATAATGCAGAAACTTTGTGCCTGAACCCAGAAATTAAAATTACCTTGAGTTTGGACATTGTTGAAGGTTGCCGTGAAGAATCTGTCTTTATTGCTCTGCACAATCTTTTGGTTTCGAGGCTAAAAGCCTTCTTGGATAAACAATTAGAGGTAATGTTTCTCCACTTCTTTTCCTTTGGACTTCAGTTCATCTGCATCTTAATACAGATGCTGTACTTATTGATTGATAACATGTGCATGAAGACAAATAGCATGAAGGGCTTGAAGGGCATGGAACTGATATTGTTGACACTGTCTTACTGGTGCTGCTTCTATTAGGACCCATTTGAAAAGTGCCAACCATTTTCTGCAAAAGTTTTCTCCATATCTTTTTTGCTTGTGGGAATTTCTAGGATTCCTTGCTGTAATTAGCATCACTTCTAAACTTAGGCTATAACTTAGAAGAAAGATTAGCTTTGGTATGTACACTGCTTGAGGACAATGCATTTCTATAGTTATCAAAACTGTAAAATATTGACTGATTAAACATGTTACTTTTGCTCCAGGCTTCTGATATTCCTGAAGCTGAACTGCCCTTTGCTTATAGCCAGAGAGATGCCACCATCAATAGAGAACCATTACCGTTGGAGGATACATTGACTTCAAGTAGAACCGAAGTGATGAATTCATCACATTTCAGTCCATCCCACGCCCCATATTTTGTAGAAAGAGGTAATTTGGATATAGCAGAGACAACAGGACTCAATCCTGTTTCATTACCAAGTTCATCTTTGTCAATTGGTGAAGAAATCAGAAGCGAAAGGACAATCCGTGATTCAAGTTCAAAGCCTATGCTTGAACAAAATATGATCTCTAGCTCCAGACAAGATGTGGGTTCTAGCACTTTGGATAGGACTCCTCTGAAATTTGTCTCAGAAAGTGGTGATTTAATGCTCGAAACTCCTGCACTGTCCACTCCAAAGAGAGTATCTTCATCCACTGTTGAAGGGAAGCAGAAGACTTTGATAACTCAAACTTGCACGTCTTGCAATCAGACAGCAAAAAGATCCTTAGATTTTTCTAAGCTGGATGAAGGAGAAGAAAATTCATTGAACCTGAACCCCACTTTGTATGAGGTGGACCAAACCGAAAGTTTACTAGATACATCTACCCAAATGGAAATGAAGGAAAAGACAGTCTCTGCATCTTATATTACTTCTTCCCAGGTACAATCTGTTTTTTCTCAGCATTTGCACTTAATTTTCGTATCCCTATATGGAAAACATATGTACATAAATAAACATGGAAATCTGTGGACAAAGGCCTGGTTGTTGTTGTGAATTTTGTCTTATTTGTTGGAACCCGCATCAGTATGTCTGTTATCAAATTGTTCTCAAATAGTTAAGTTCTTATTGTGAGACCAATATGGATCTTTATGCACATATATGAAAAATCTCTTGATGGTGACATGATCCCCATAACCGAACCCCCATAGTCAGATAAAAGCTTAGTTGTTATTGTCTTCAATGTACGAAGTTATCTCTTATTAGATCGTTCTCAAATAGTGAAGCTCTTAATGTGTTGGGAGACCGTGTACTGCTGTCTCTTTTGATATGTGGTTGTTCAAATTGGGGCACTTGTGTGAAATAATTGCCAATTAGGAATGTGCTACTCTCAGTTTTTCTATCATTCTTTTAACATCTTGGCCAGTCTTCTCTTTGATGCACTAGTTAAAGGTGTATTCAACTATGTTAATTGCTTGCTGCAAGTTTCAAGTTTCCTGTTGTAGTTTGTTTCTAGTTACTTTCCAAAGCAACCGTTAACAGTTAAAGTTTGCATTTTGAGTTTAAAATTACTTGGGCAACATATACTTCATGGTGGTGGTTGTTATTTGACAGTTAAAAAGTTTCCTGTTATTTTGTTGCTAGTACTTTCCAAAGCAAGTTAAAGTTTGCATTTTGAGTTTAAAAATACTAGGGGCAACATATACTTCATGGTGGCGGTTCTTATTTGACAGGATAAAGTAAGCATTTTCTGTGGTGGAAAGGACAATGAGATCATTCCTCCTGCACACGAGCAAACATCAGTTGGCTTGTCCGAATTTGCTGTTTCAATCCAGAAATTGTTTCAATCTGTCAACCTACGTGCAATGACAAAAGACGAACTATTTCAAAAGATTATTATGAACAATTTTGAATTTGATGAGGAAGGTACAGTCGAATGGAAGCTAAATGTTTATTATTATAATTGAGTTTTCCATGCTTATCTTTCTTCGTATCTCTAGAAAATGCATAATATTGAGTTTTCCATGCCTAGGCCATATTGAACAAAAATTAGAGATTCTTGAAAAGCTTGTTCCAGGTTGGCTTTCCAAAAAAAGGATGCTGAGTGGCGATCTTACGTACAGGTCAGTTTTTCTCTTTTAGTCAGGAAATTGGTCCTTTTCATTTATGTTGTTTAATGTGATGAAATAAGTTAGTCATCCTGATAAGCTGTTTTTCTGAAGTTGTGTTCTGTGCTTTTGGACAAGCAGAGGGTCTGTTTTCTGTAACTTTTTTGCGCCTTTTTCTTGTCACAGCCTCAAGATGGTACCAGACTTGCATTCTATTCTTGAAATGGCCACAACCATTTGATGACACAAGTACGAGGTAAGCAGTATCTCGTGCTTCATCATAGTGTTTGTTCCAGTGTGTCCAGGGTGAACACTTTCCCCTTTCGTCTGAAATGTCTAAGAACTTTTGTCCTCTCCTTTGCTTTGATAAATAGGGTTTGAGGGCGTGGGACCAAAATTTGTTGGCAACTGGAAGAGTGGTACAACCAAATGTGTTTGGTTATCAGGATTATGGACATTTGTTTCTCCAGATTTGTTCTTGTGTGTAAACTACCCCCTGTGATCTACGTTTGTAAGTAAACGGTGTACCAATTCCAACATCAATCCAACATTTGGTCAGCTCATTGTCATTTACTCTGTTTCTTCTTTTTTATTTTTCATGCATATGGAAGAAGCACAATGAGATTAGTTACAGAACATCTACTGGTCGGGTGTTGCCGATACATAGCAACCTAAGAGAACAGGAGTCTTTTAATAAGAAATCGCAATATATAACTTGGTTGTCTGCGACAGAAGATAGTGTCTGTATTATCCCTGTCTAGGATTAGTTGCCCCACAATTTGAAACGATGGTTACAAACTTGTTAGGAACAGTTTTCCTCTTGTAGTTAAAACAGCCCCTAAACAAAGCAAATATTCCTTTCAAATCCAGATCAACAAGAGAAACCAAACATCCACACAAGTCTTCTACATCATAGTTCTCTCAATAACAAGAGATCGTAATCTACAGCCAAAGTTCCAATTGAACTCATTGTAAATTCTAACTAATAAACTGCAAAATCAATCTTCTGCTTAGTCCCCATGGATTGTGTACCTTTCCCACTTCTTCGTTGGATCATATATCTGCGAAACAAAAGACCAACCCAAAAAGGAGAAATCAAAGTTAGAACTCCCCACCAATAAAAAACCCCATTTCCGGCCTGAACTTTAACAATGCCGCCTGTCACAATAGCATGAAGCACAATTCGCACTACAGAACTTGGAAACCCAGGAGAAATTTGGGGGAGGTGTTCTTTCTAGGGCTCTTTATCATAAGAGTATCACAAAGACATACAAACAAAAAGGCACAAAGAAAGAGATACCTCCCATCGAGAAGCAGGAAATATATGCTTATTCTTCTCATACCAGTGCCTTTCAACAACTTTTCCAGCATGGGACTGTTAACACAAGAATAACAAACAACCTTAGACTACCAGTAAATCCATTCAAGAAAGAGAACAACACAAGTGTACACAATTTACAAGTGATCAGCTTAAACCACACTTTACTGAAATAGTATGAGATCAGAAAAGATTTAGACACAAGCAGGCATGGACACGTGTAGTTCAATGAAAATATGTTGTGCCTACCAAATTGATAGCCACAAAATGACCAGGAACCTCTAAGCACACGTCTTAGGAAGAAATTGATTACAACTAATCCCAACTGAAATTGCTGCTTCTTCAATTAACTGGTTTTATTTGGTGGTTAAGACTTGCAGAAATTTGCAAAAGGGAATGACACTTAAATCATGGGTCAGTAACATACCTCATCTTTTTCAATTGTAGCATCAGCAATTGTCCGGACATCTTCATGCACATCGAAGTGAAAAAGCTACAGAGGTAGCAGCCAAATAAGAGAATCGGTAATAGGAAAAAAACGAAGAAAGAATCCAATACTTGTTTCTACTAAACAAAGATTCTACCACACTATAATGCCATGCTATTGCAAAAACTATAACCATCCAGATGTCACAAATAGTTTTGCTTCTCTATCAGATAATGTAGAATTTCAACTTGTTATTGCTTTTGTTAACCAAAATAAACTACATGATCTTAGAAAAGAGGCAATAATAAATCTCAGAAGTAAAATGCAAAAACAGCTCTAGTGATGCATCACAACCCCAAAAACAACATAAAAGGAAAATGCATCTTAAAGTTGAAAGGAAACAAACGTTACCGGTCCACTCTTTCCCCTGGCCTTGTTAACTATCAGCTCATAGAAACTGTGTTGCTGAAAAAGCATACAGGATAAAATAATTTAATCCAAATTAAATATAACAATTTCACATAATAAAGAGGTCCAATCATTACATGAGGAATAATGAGATCTTCTTTCACATATAGCAGATTCTCCACAGATGTTGTTCGAACCTCCCGGAACTCCGGCGCAAGTTGCTGTTGAACAGCCCGAAGAAATTCTCCTATCGAGTCCCCTTTGCGTACCTGATATGCACCCACAAGAAAACAAATAAATGTAAATGTGAATCTTCACGAGCTTTTGATATAAGAAAGAAGACGGACACAGATTCAATCTAAGCAAATCCACTAGCCCACTGGATTACCTGGATAACCCTTCTATGGCCTGTCCCATCCCAGTAACTGTAAGTAATTTGAAGAGGCTCATCTGGAAAATAAACACGTTACATGAATATCTCTTGGGGGTTTCTTCCCTAATGCAAATAACATAATCATGCAACAATTACTTTTGATACGTGCTTGCTCAAGAAGCCATTGCTTTCTTAACCTTTCACGCTCAGCTTGTTCCTCAGCCTCCCTCTCACTGAAAGAGTATGCTTCAATACGAAAACGTGCATAAGTAAAAGGCTCACCAAGCACAGCAAAATTATTATTGTTACTTTCTCGGGAAAAAAAAAGGAGGAGAGATGCCACACCTGTCAGGCAGAAAACTAGTTTCTACGGTTGGGTCCTTAGCGAATTTCCAACGGCCAAGCCTAGGTTTTTCTTTAGCTCCTACCAAGTTTGAAAAAGATGCAGAAGCATCAGTATCTATTCAGATGAAACAGAATATAACTCATTCACAATATACTAGCATCAGCCATTATTCAAGCTACACAATATGAAATACTCTCAACACTTCCATTCAACAATCAACAATAAATGTTTGAAAATTTCTACAAAATTTGGTATGAACAATACAAAAAAATAAATTTTAGCCACGTGACAAGCAGCAATGAGACTGTTAAAGGCTAAAATGTGCCTGGAAGCTACATGAACTAGTCTCTGCTCTTATTTCACCCAACTATGTTCATTTGATTTACCAATTCAATCTTAGGAAGGTAACTGAAAAAGAATTTCAAGACTAAGATGGAAAAATTGAATCCAAAAATTAATAGGAGGCAATCGCAAGAGAAGTCCATATCACAAAGTCTACCAATACTCGTACAAGAAGATAAACTACTCTGAAGCTCTGAGGCAGAACGTTCAAACTTATGTATCAGTTCAAAATGATTTGTAAGGAAAAGAATAGAAAAAGGTAGGAAAAAAAAGGTTTTAGTTGAATAGTATTACTATATTTACATACATTGGCCATTTTGTTACATTTTGCACCCAATATGCAATAACTAATGCCGAGCACCAATACATTAACATCAACATACCCAGTATAATGTCAAGCACCAATATATGCTTAAAATTTTGGGACTCAAGCAAGGAAACAAGAATATTGAACCAATGGAATGAATGAAGTGCTTACCATCATTTTCTTCATCTTCGTTGTTCTCAATGTCGTCGCAAAAAGACAAACGAGGGTCCACCTTCACTTTCCTTTTCTTAAGCTTTTGTAACTGAAGTTCCTCCTCTCTGGAGTCCAATATATTGCTTAGTATCACATAAAAACAGATAAAAGAATTGAACCAGAAACTTCTTCGAAAGAAAAGATAGAGAAAATAATCTCGTCACTCACTCCTGTTGCAACTTCTGAAGCTTCTCCTTCTCTTCCTCTTCAATCTTGGTCCTAATGTTCACTCTCTGCAAGAGGTAGATAAGGAAGGAGATCATAACCATGTCGGGAGAGAACATAAAAGGAAATAACACAATTCTTTTTGTTCGACTAATGCATTTGCACTTGCCACAGGGTTCCACTCAACAAATTTATCTCCTAAGACTTCATTCTAGAAGCAACTTCATATCTAGTGAGAAGTTCATAATCATTTCTCTCCATTCTAGTGTTCTTCCATATCAAAGAAGAAATCTAGTAAAACTAACCAAACACAACCTTCCACACCTCACATGTGAAGAAACCACCATCTAACGAGGAAAGCACTTTTCATGCATTTCTTATTCAGTTTTACAAATGAAGTTAAAAGGAAGTATTGCTACTAGCTATCAAGTTCTTTCTAAGTTGCAAAACTGAATGGATAATTGTGATGATTCCTCTCCCAAGTATGATGCGAGGGTAGAATAGAATTGCTTAAAACTTTTAAGAATTGTCATCAAGAATATTGATAAATATGTCTTCTCACCATTATGCTACTTTTCATCATACAATCCAAATTCAGAACTTCGCATGAATTTAGGTCATATTTAGTCTTTCAGTTCTTCTTGATTCAGGTGTTGGTTTTAAAAAACCCCTATTCTTATCCTTTCTGAAAGGAAGCAGTCATAGATGAATTTCTTTTTGAAAGTCATGCCTTGAAATGAGACATTGGAGAACACTTAACAACATATAGATCGAGAATCAAAACTCTAGCTCAGTAGCTAAACGAATGAATGATTGACCTAACTAAACTCATAGGATGATTGAGTTGCACGCCTAACACTGTTTCCATTTGAAGAGGTAACTCAGTTCAAGAAACCAATGCAAATTCGATCATTTCATATAAAAAACAAAGAAAACGTGTATCATCGATGAATAAACAGTCACGGTCTTGGGTTAAGATAGCCACACTACTTTCTGAATGTCTTGCATTTAGGGAAAACATTTAACAACAACATATCCTCTGGAATCAAAAGAGGCCTCAGCTCATTGACTAAATGAATGAATGATTGACATAACTAAACTCATAGGACGGTTGTTTTACATGCCTGACACTGGTCCATTTGAAAAAAAGTAATTCAGTTCAAGAAAGTAGAAACCAATACAAATTCAATCGTTTCACAATAAAAGCAAAGAACAAGAGAATCATTGATGTATAAACACTAGTGGCCTTAGGTTAAGATATCCACACTATTTTTAGAATGTCTTGCATTTAGGGAAAACAATGAACAACATATCATCAGGAATCAAAAGAGGATCCAGCTCATCGATTAAATGAATGAACGATTGACCTAACTAATCTCATCGGGTGGTTGTTTCGCACGCCTACCACTGGTCCACTCGAAAAAGTAATTCAGTTCAAGAAACCAATGCAAGTTCGGTCGTTTCACAATAATAAAAATAAACAAGCAAATCAATTTCGACAAGGTTTTCAACAGGAGGATCAATACTAATTAATTTTCAGTCAACTAGTAGATTTTGCTCAACATTACCTTTTCAACATACTCATCCCTGGAAACCAAACCAACAGTTTCCTTCTTGAATGCAGTCTCAAGAATCTGCAAAAATAATAAAAGATAAATCTCAGAAAACAGAAACCAAAAAGAAAACAAACTTCCTGAATACATTTGGTGGCAGGAAAACTTCAAGACAAACCTCAGAAGTGCTGGAACCGAATTGGAGTAAACCCGGTTGGCCTTTGGAAGAAGCCGTTTTGGTCTTGAGCTCTTGAATCTTTTTCCTCTCAGCTTCCCTCTGCTTCTCCAACCTTCGGATTCGGACCGCATCTTGGGCTGTGCCCACATACCCGTCTCCCATACCCGACATCTTCTAACCTAGGGTTTCCACTATTCTCGGAATCAAATGAGGATTCCCCCCAATTTCCCTAAGCAAAAAAACAAATTGAAATTATTCAATCATCAGAATTGGAAACTCAAAGTTTTGGATGAATTTTGTAAAAGAAAGATAATAATCGTAAACGTACCGTATTTCAGGATTTCTGATGAAGAAGAAATGATTCCACCGGGGAAAGAATTTAATCGCCACCTCTCCGCCGCCGCAAATGTATATGCGGAATATTTAAAAATGGAATTCGGGCCCCGTATGGTGTTATTGGGCTGAAAAGACTTGTTACGGGCCTTGTATTGGGCTAAATTTTTGTGTACGTGTAATAAGATTTATTTTGAAAATATGTAATTCAAAACAATTGCTTTCTTACCATTTGTTTCCAATGGATTGGCGCGAGAGCCTTATGTATTATGGGTTAACCCAACTATTCCCATTAATTTTTATTTTTATTATTATTTTTTTTTGCTTGTAATATCATTTGCATTGGAATTATTTTATTTCACAACTTATAGAATGTTGACTGAATTATTTAGTGGATGATGATCATAATCATAAATCAATCTAGCTATTATTGAAAACTCTACTACTAAAATCACTATCTATCTTCTTCTTTCTTTTCTTTTTTTCTAAAAAAAGAAAATAAGAAATGTTTACGTTCTACAAACTCATATTTTGAGAAGCTTGATGAATATGGTTTCGTGGTAAGAATATGAATCTATATATACTATATTAAAGAAGAGTTTTCAATCAACACTTGTGGTTCAATTAGATAGTTCAAAATCTTCTTTATCACATGTCAAGTTCTTAGTTTTTTTTCTTTGACACGAGTTAACGTCAGAGACCCCATTTCTTTAAACTGTTAAAATTTTTTGTAAATTGTACTTTTTACCCATGAATTTCACTCATATTTATTAAATTTTATATATATTTGATTTATCTACTTAATTATTAATGAAAAATTCATTTTTTTCGTTGCTAATTATTTTTAGCTTTTTTTTATTGGTTACTAAGAATGATTTTTCACACATTTCTAAGTAGAGTTCACTTTGGTAGAATTTTTTTAAAAATCAATTTATTTTAGTGGATGAAAAATGTATAAAATGTAGTATTTTCATGGAAATATAACAAGACAAAATAATACTAAAGCGATGCTGTAGAAAATATTTTATATTTTTCCATTTATTTTTTCCTTTTGAGTTCGGTAAAACTTTCATTTTAAATTTAATAAATTTATTTGTAGAAATTTACGAAATTACATGACCAAATTATTATCAATTTTATCGATTATTATTTCTAAAATTTTACTATGAATGAGTCATACAAATATATTATCTTTCAAAATATACACTATCTTGAATATGAATCTATACTATATATTAAAAAAGAGTTTTTAATCAACATTTGTCGCTCAATTAGATAGTTCAAAGCTTCTTTTTTTTTTTGTCATATGTCAAGTTTTTAGTCCTTAATTGACACATGTCAACGCTGGAGACCCCCTTTCATTAAAGTGTTAAATTTTATGTAAACTAGGTTCTTGACCCGTGTGTTCGCGCGGGTACAAACTGGACGAATCTCTATTGTTTCCTTCAGACAAAAATATGCAAAGGAAATGAAATTTGACAAAAGTGTTTTTTTATTTTCACATAAAAATAAATAGAATTATCATTTAATAAAAATGAATACATCATAAAATTAATTTTCATATATACTAACTATAGTCATCAAATACAAATTTCCAATAACAATTACATTAAAAAAACCGCTAATATAATGAAAAAGTAAAAAATCCAAGCCATTCTAGTGTCAATAAGTATTCAACTGAATCTAATGTAAGAAATTTACAATCCTTGCATACTTAAAACCCGTATGAATTCAACATGTCAATACTTCCACTTGTAAGAGAGAATACTAATTTTAACCACTTGAGTCTATTGGGCAATGGCCTTAACCTAGCACAAGAAGAAACTGGTTAGCATTGTAGATCCAAGATTAGAAGCAGTGGCGAAGAGAATTAGTTATTTTTACAGCTATGGCGTTGTCCCTAGTCTATTGGGCAATGGCCTGAACCTGCATCACCTGGATTGCCAATTGAGGACCCATCAACGTTGATCTTTATTCCATTAGTTGGAAGGGTCCAAGTCAAAAATAATGGTGTACTCTTTCTTGCTTCTTTTGCAAAAGGAATGAGTCATGCAGTTACAAAGCTTGAATCCTTGGCTGAGGATGCTTTAAAAGGCACCGCTTTTGCCATAATGTGTAGATCTTGGACAATAAGTCTCACTGCAATGTGTGGAGAGATTATTGTTGACTCAAAAATAGCTTTATTCCTACATTTCCACAGCTGCCAACAAATGAGAGAGGGGAGGAGAATCTGTAGCTTCCAAGTCAGCTTTGAAGATTGTCTTCTTGTCCACCATGTAGATGAAAGATCATCAAAATCCAAAATTTCATTGTTTGCAAAGACCATAATCGCTCCAAAATGTCTCCAATGTTTAGCATAAGAACATTCAAAGAAGTTATGCCGAATGCTTTCAACATGATTCCTGCATAAAGAACACACAGAGGGAATATTCAGTCCTGTTTTCATTAAAACATCAGCAAAAGGAAGTAACTTGTTGTGCAATCGCCACATGAAGATCGAAATCTTCAGTGAAGCCTTTTATCCCATATATAAGTGCATTGTTGGGATGATTCTTGTCTTTTCCACAGGTGATTGAATGCTGATTTGAGAGAGAATTTTCCAAGAGTATCATTTTGCCAAATCCAGTCATCGACTTCATTTGATAGTGTAACATCTTTACTCTCTATTTCATTGATGTCATCACGGAGTAGAATTCCTTGTAGTGAGTCCAGATTCCAAGCTTCATTATCAATCAAGTCTCTAACCAGCACATTAGAATTATTCCCAAGTTCTTCATCATATTTAATGAAAGGCAACTGTGCAAGCCGGTCATCCTTCCAAAATTTGCATCACCATTTTTATCTCAACAAAGGTGTTGTTTCTCATGTATTTTCCCATGGCTTCAACTGGAGTGAAAAACCGAGGAATCAATTCCTTTCTTCCTCTTGTTAATAAAGGATGCCCAAATACCCGTTTTTGACAAGAGCTTCCACCACATTTTGCATGAAAAAAGCATCAAGCACATCACTAAGAGACCTAGTGCCAAGTCCATTTTCTTTCGTAGGATATGCCATCTTTTCCCAGCTGCGCCAAATTCTTTGTTGTTGTCCATCAGCCACGCCCCAAAAAAATTTTGACAATCGACCCTCTATTCGTTTAAGGATGGCTTTGGGCGGATTGAAAGCTGAAAAAACATATGGCATATATGAGGATAACACATGTTTAATTAGAATTAACTTACCTCCAGGGGGCAAAACTCTGCTTTTCCAACCAGATATCTTAGCATCAATTTCGGACAAGAGACCGTTAAAGTATTCCTTTTTGCATCTTCCCTTAAATAGAGTACCCCCAAGATAGTTGAGAGGAAAACTACCACAGGAGATTCCAGTAATGGCAGAGACAGTAGCAATGTTTTCTTGAGAAGCTTTCTTGGAAATTATGAAGGTGCTTTTGGATTTGTTAATTTTCTGTCATGTGCTTTCTTCATATAGTTTGAGGAAGTCCATAAGACTTTTCAATGAATTACGATTAGCTTTCACGAATATCACCAGATCATCGGCAAAACTTAAAAGACTGATGGACAGAGATGATCTCAAAGAGTGATATGGTTAAATAAATCCTGCATCAATGATAGCATGAAGACCTCTAGGGAAGGCCTCAGTGAGTAAGATAAACAAGTAGGGGGACAGAGGATCCCCTTGCTTGAGGCCCCCAGATGGTTTAAAGAATTGAGATGGCTTACCATTGATGAGAACAGAATTCCAACAACTTGTAAGATTATTCATGATTACATTAATGAATCTATCATGAAAACCAAGTTTTGCAAGAAGTAGACTTATAAAATTCCATGACACTTTGTCGAATGCTTTCATCATATCAAATTTGAAAAATATATTATGACCTCTAGTTTTTTTGTCAATGGACTGTCCTAGTTCTTGAGCCAGCAAAAGATTGTCAGAGATATCTCATTCCACAAGTTTCGTCGTTCGTTCAATCTTGTTACATTTAGCATTTACCAGGGAAATAACCGACTCAAAGGAACCTAAATATGTTAGTCTTAAACTTAACATTTGAGCAGATTGTGAAATCAAACTTACATTGAAATCATTAGACCAAAAAAACCAGATTTTACCATTTTCTGAACATAGTGCATTAGACAGACCAAACCGTAGTCTATAGTCGTCTAGTTTTGAATTTTTAAATAGGGGCTCAATCAAAACTATAAAATTAATAGAATGAGACTTTATTAATTTTTACTCTCCGAGCTGTCTTACCGGCAACCCCTCGGATTTTCCAAATTAAAGACTTAATCATTTAGATAAATTAAAAGATGAGGTTGCGGACCTTGTACTTACAGTACGCTCTACCTTTCTTGTTGGGCCGCTTTCCTCTTCATTTCATTTTTCCTTTTCGGAGATGGAAGATTAGAGCTATGTTTCTCTTGTTGCAGAAATTCTTTTTCAGTGGTTGGCAAAGTAATTCCCCATTGAAGATTCTGCATTGATGATGATCTCCTCACTTCAGCCCCCTCGCGTTCCACCTTTTTGTCCATTTCTGAATTGTTTTCTATGTATGGAGCGTCTAGAGTCTCGTTACGGAACGGTTCCGTTTTAGAATAATAATCGTAGGATTAATTTGACTAATTACTAATCGTAGGATTAAAATAAAGGTGTATTATAAAAAAATGTCCTAAATACACTTATTGGAAAAAAGAAACCTGGTACTGGTTTAACCGGTTTATTATTGCACATGCCAATTAATTACCAGGTAGCGGGAGGAAAACAAAACTTTCGTGAACTGTGACCTGAAACACTCTCTCACCGGCGACACTTCGGAGCACGATCTCACGTTCTCCTACTCCCGCTAGTGATGGAAACAATCAAATTTCTTCTTTTCTAAATTTATAATTTCTTAATCTGCAGCCAAATCCATTCAATTCAGAGGTTGCCTAGCTCCTTTGTTGCAATTTGAGCCGACTATGTTGTAGCTTTCTCAAAGGAGCTTATCGAAGTTGTGTTTTTGATGAGCTTCTTCTGCTTCTTTGCTTCGTGGTTCAATTTTCTCTTATAGAATTGAAGGTCTTGTTGTCTTGTGTTTTTCCTTTTCCCTCTTTAATGGGATTATTAAAAAGCTTGTTGATTTGATTGGATCATCGTGCTGAGTTTCATATATATCAAAGTTGTGTTTTTTGATGATTGAATGGCATTTTTTTTTTTGACAAACAGATATAGTTATATATATTTATTTATTTATGATGAATTAAATGGATTAATTAGCTTAAACTTGGGGAATCAATATTTGCATGCAGATACTGTTAAATACATGAGGAAGGAGTATATATCATGCAGCTGACTTGGAATTGTACTGAATGTCACTCATGTGTCACGTGTTGCATGCTTTAGGGGCTTAGGGACTATTGCTAATCACCTTTGTTGCAATTCAACAAAAACGATTGTTTAATGGGAGTATTCTTACTCCTGAAGTTGTTGAAATCTGAGTTTAGTTTTCAAAAAAAGTTCAGTCATGTTGTTCTTTGGTTGTATCCTTGGAGTTAAATGTCTAAATAAAGACATCTTGACTATCATAATAGAACTATGCGGTTGCAAAGTTATAGTGATCAGTAAGTACTATCATTATGTGTATCAGTGTTTTAATATAGCGCATAAACATAGAATGTTGCTCAGTTATAAAGTCACAATATAGAATATACATGTTAGTCAGTTACTTAGAGGAATCTTAAGGTCCAATGGAATAAATATAATGTCTCCTAGGGTAAATTCAACAAGTAGGACACAAACTTGTTAGACACAATAGCTTAAAAGTGTTGCCACAACCTGAGTTCTTCTCTTTTCTTCCATTTCTTCCCTTAAAAGTCTCATCAGTGGTCTCCAATAGCTCATTCCTCTCTTGTATCTCTCCTGGTGTAGGCTTGACAGTATGGGAGCTCTTAAACAAGAGTTTGGCCCAATGTTAGAATTCATTTACAGTTTTGTATCCAGCATTATTTTTAGTTTTCATCACTTCACTTCAGTCTGATTAAAAATATGTATTCAGGCAGGGTTGGAATCATCTATTTGATATATATCAACCATTACTGGCAGACTGGCTCGTGCTCTTTTTCTTTCTCATAGGTCATTAGTTACTTCATCTGCATCATTATTTGGACTGCTTGGCACGACACTATATGGTCTTATCTGGTACTGGAAATTTTCACGGAAAAGGTTGTCTCAGTTGGCCTTAAATAATGATATAGTTTACCTATGAGTATCTTGCTTACAAGCTCAACTCTTTTCCTGGTTGTAGTTCAATGCTCTACTGATGTTTCTGATTATCCTGACGCGGGGTACATTGTTCAAAAAGTGGTGTTTTTGTTACCCCAGGATAATGGCTCGTTAATGTTTTCTTCTTTGGAAACTATGCATGATACAATTCTTTTGCAGGAACTCCGAGTATTATACTGAAGAGCCTCACAGAAATACCTCGGAAGGCAATATATATCATAGAGCCGGTGCAGCTACTGGGAACTATTATCCCTCCTCTCATTCACAACGGAGACTTTGGAAGCTGAAAACCTCGAGGTTGATCGCGGAAATCAATATGCATTCACTTTTTGTGTTTGTGTTTTGAATGGTTTGCCTAATTGGATGGATTAGGCAAAAGGCATCAGCAGGGATATCTTCCTCCATTTAAAGGATTGTTGACTCAACAAAGACTTTACATGCAGTTGAATTATCAGGTCCAGGGTGACCTCTTTACAGGTTTAATAAAAAGGACATGGAAATGATTAGGATGTTCTTGTTTGGTGAAATATTTTGTGAACATGGGAAAAGTTAACCATCAATAGCCTGCAAGCCATTGTAAGTTGTATTTCAGTTTGTGCATGGAAATGTGTATTGGTAGACATTTTAGAATCTCAACCCTGATTTCATGCATGTAGGCGCATTTTTGTTGCTTAAAGCTTTCTTTGGCTTCATCTTTGTCTCTTTCATTTACTTTGCTTTGCAATGTTTCCTTTTCCTAACAAGAAGTGAAAGAAGGCTGGAAGGAATGCCCTTGTGCAAAAGCCACAACTGCATTGCTCATGATGACGAGGCGAATCCGTTGAGAGTTTAACGATTATGAATGTTAATCATGACAGGTGTGGAGTATAAATGCTAACAGGGAATAGGAACACATTATTATTAGGAAAAAAATTCCTGAAGAAATCAGAAGAACTGACAAGAAATCTAGATCAGAAGCCATGGTTTTAAACATTTGGGGTTTTTCTTTGTAAACAGATTTGGGCTCGTTTAATCATAGGACATGTCTTTTCAGCTTAGGCTTACAGTCGTAGTTGAACTGACTATCATAACCTGTGTTCACCTTCTAGTACATGGTAGTCTCATCTCAAGTGTTACAATTTACAGAGGGTGTTGAAAGACAATGAAAAAAGAGAGAGAAAGAAATGCTGAACACCAATACCTTTAGTTTCCATTTATCTAGGGACCATAATGATAGTTAGGCCATACTTTTTTTCTTTTTTTTTGGGGGATAGTATTGTGGATCTTATGAATCCTAAACAAGAAATAGAAACATATATAATCCTTATGTTTCTAGCTACATGTCCCGAATTACCAAGAGACGCCTGGCCGTTGTTTGTCTCAGTGGTTGTAAATTTTTTCACAACCACTACCTGACATCAAATGTAAGAAAGTACTACTATCTAAATCCAATTCCGAAAGTGCAGGAATAAACAACCACAAGTACAACATCAAGATTTGGACTCTTCGTCCTTTTCTTCAATCTTCGGAACCACATAGAACCTTATGTAATCCAACTCTACAATCTTGTATTCCACCACAACAGGAAGCTCTGAAGAAAGTCTGATGGTAACCAAGTTTGAAATTGGGCTAGCTTTGGTAAAGGAGTTCAGATATCTCAGGGCAAATGTCAAAGACACAGGCTCATTCATTTCAATAACTGTTGCATCCTCTGACTGAAGAAGAGAAAAATTACATCAGTTCAGATACTACAGGGGAACGTGACATGGGACTTGAAAACACAAAGGACAATGTAGCATAATAGACCAGAAAGAAAGTACGTTATCAACTGTTGTATTCTGGCGACAAAAAATATTGCAGCACCAATATCACCTCTAAGAGAAAATTTAACGCCTTCCTTTGTCACAGGTATCACAATTGAAATTCCCCAACAAGATACAGGGAATGGTAAAACCAATGTTCCTAATTTAAAAGGAAAAGTCCCGAGTCAAGCTTGTTTGAATATAATGATGTTCAGAATCCCAAAGGATGCTGTGCCGCCATACATGAAAAGGGCATTGATGCGAAGGACAAAATATAGCGCAGACAACAAACTAATACAAGAACGTACAAGATTCAGAATTAAGCAAGGAGACAGCATAGAAGTAAATTGACAATAAACCAAGAAGTTGAGCTCCCCAAGTAAATTCCAATCAGTATGAAGTTTAAAAAGGCTAAAAAATGGTAGTGGGAGGAAAAAAGATATCACCTTGCAAGAAAAGTTAATATTTCTCAGCAGATTCAGCGTAAGATTTGTGCAAAAGAAAGATAACGACATTTAGAATAGGAAGACTATAGAAACATGCAGAAAAAAAGCAGGAAATGCCATCAACAAGAAGCAGTCCAAGAAACAGAACCTCTGAAAAAATCATATCAGGAATGAAAAAACAAAAGAGAAATTTCCATTTTGATCCGCAACATTTTCGGATGACAAAAGATGTAACCAAAAAGTAGTCATAATCTCACGGATAGTAAGATTCCAAAAAACCCAGTCTTAGACTATCAAAATGACAAACAAAATGAAACAAGGTTTAATCAGTTGAAACACAATTATAGCAGCGGTTTTCCACTATTAATAACGGGCTGAAAGAAGAATTGATCATCTCTAACAGATCTTTCTTTCCTCATTAGCAACTCGGGAATATTTTGTTCTGTATCCATCTTGTGAGTTACATAATCAAATAAGCCAATCCTTTTTATCATCCATATTGTCAGTGCTTCTTGAAAATATAGCTAGTTTCTTCACTTTTGCCTTATTTCAATTACAAGTGCAAGACAAACAAATTATGAGTAACAAGCCAAAAAAGAAACATCTCAGTATGGCGTTACGAATCCATACAACCAACCCCATATTCCCCATTCCAATCTATTCATGGAAACTGTAACCACACTCCCAAAATACAAAAACATTCAAAAAAATTCTAAATTCTTACCTAAATCCCAACTGAAGGACAGAGGCCTGGACAGGAAATTGGACAACCAAATCCAATTGGTGACGAGATTACTCCTGGAGGATACTTTAGTCACGTTTGGGGAGAAGAAAGTGTTACTGCTGCCGAAGCTGCCGGAACTGATACTGCACCGCCGACTAAACACCGTAATTGAGAGAATTGAACGGTTTTTATTTGGGCAGATTTGAAATATGGATCAAAAAAATTATTTTTAGAGGAAAACGGTATTCTTGTCATTTTAATTATTCTCAGGGATCAATTATGTAGTTGACTCGCAATTAAGTAGAGATATTGTCCTTATA